AAAAAAAAAAAAAAAAAAAAAAAAAACTTAGCAATTATGTAGAAAGTTTGAAATCTAAAACAAGGCCTTCAAGTAGCATATGAGTTATATGAAAGGTATGTAAATGGTTTACAAAATAATGCATGAAAGATCTAAAAAAATATGCACAGACTCCTAGACGCCCCGGGACACTCCTCTGTGGCATTAAGATTCAGCACGCATTCCCGCCTCGAACCATGGCATCACTCACCTTAAAAAAAGAGTAGAAAGGAATGAGTATAAAAATACTCAGTAAGTAGCCTACTTGCAGGCTCTTTTCGCATCCTTATCTTGATAGGTATCCACGGTCTTTCTCGGGTCTCTAAGGAGAGTGATCTAAGCTACAACTCTCTTTTTTTGTATCTTAGGAGGCTTGCCTATCTTATGCAGTGAAATGGTCAGTGCCTTGAGGTGAGGCGCGATCTCATAAGTAAATCTGAGGGGATCGTATGGTTGGATCTGAATACGTGAATCTCTGAACATCATCCGTAGAGGTTAGCTGAAAACCCTCTCACGGGACCATACATCCACTAAATTCAGGGTGCGACCCCCTGTGTGCCGGTCAACTACTAAGTCATCCTACGTGGCTCCACGTCCCCCGCTCAGGGACGGGTTTCTACGGCCCAGGAGTCCTGTTCATAAGACCCCTTAGCTATCACCACTAGGTCTGGGCACTTGTCACACTTCCCTATTCGGATCTGTCAAGCTCAACGATCTTCGTACTGAAGCTCTATCTCGATGGTACGGTATCAGAGTAGAGAGGGAAGTGGAGGTTCTGATGGCACTACCCACACTACTCAACTCTAGAGGGCTACCTTCAGTTACCGTGGTGTTCTACTATCCTTGCTAGGGTGGAACTTGGTGGCTTAAACTTGGATTCATGCATCTCTAGGATTCTCGTGCTTGGTCTCACAAACCTAACGGGTTTGGAATTCTAGGCTCTGGATATGCCAGTAATCATTTTGCGGGTCTATATGCACGATGTTCTAGAGGTCTCCCAATCTAGGATCTCGTCTAGCCTACTTAGTCAGAAGCACCCTAATCTACACTCATAATTCCTTCCTATTCAACAAAAAAGATAACACAAGCAATCATCATGCATAGGAGTTCACACGCAATAGTTCATGCAATATTAACAAACATGCTCAACGGGAATATAACGTCCATCTTCACCCAGAGCGCAGATTTCACAAGTTTCCCAACCTCTTCATGCATACATACATTATCAGAATCTCAATCAAAACAAATTTAATAAAGATTTCATATCTAGCTTTCCTTAATCATTTCATTTTCGTAGTTTCCATACTAATATGATAGGTCCGGCTAGCTAAGTTTATGGGTGGTAGCATGCATGCTTGTTCCTAGCGGTTCCTACAAGTACTGCTAGTGGGAATCCAAATGGCTACTTACTTGGTTGTAGCGTGCCTTCCCGAGTTCGAGTTTTCTTGACGGAAAGGATTCCAAAAATTCTAAAATTTTCTTGACAGATCCTAATTCACATAATAATAGGGTCAGTATCAAAATCGGGACGGAAAACAAGCAAACGGAGACCGAGCAGAAAGAAAAACAGTGACTCACGCACGTCACACGCGCCCTGGAGGGTTTCTACGCACGCGTGCCCAAGTGCGGCTTCTCGAATAGTCGCGGGTCAGAGGCGCTGGGTCAGGCGATTTACAGACAATGTACTCTTTCATGTTTCGATCTATTTTCTTCCGATTTTTATATCGTCCAAGCCGTAATTCGATTCAACAAATTTTCTTCACAAACTTTGTAGATCTCATATTCTACTCCTTTGAAATAATTTTCTTATATTTTTTTGATAATCACAGATCTTAATATTTGAGTTCGAATTCAGAGAAAACACAAGTTCTTACCGAAAGTCACGTTTTCTTGAAACTTCGATTCGAACGCTAGTCTTGGCCGCCTTCACTTCAGATCTTAACCAGATAACGCTGTTGAGGGTAAGAGTCCAAGAATCAACACAAAATGTCGCTAACACACAAAAATCTTGATGACTTCTCGATCTAGACACTCGTGGACTAACCTGAAACTCTTGGACGTTTTAACGAAATAGGAAGGTGCGATTCATGAGAGCACCTTGCCTCGGACTGATGGTGGTTTAGATTGGGGACTCGGATCTCCAGCATTGGTTCTAATCCGATCTCCTCCTCCTACCTCAAAAACCCTAATCTTCTTTCCCTCTTCTTCCTCTTCTTTCTCTTCTTTCTCTTCTTTCTCTTCTTTCTCCTCTTTCTCTCCCTTCTTCTCTCTCTTTTCAGATTATGACCCAATCAAATCAGACCCCTCAAGTAATAATAGGGAAAAAATGACTAGTTTGCCCCTATTGTGACCTTGAATTTTTTTTTTTTAAACTCAGGCGCTGCAAATACAAGAAGGTTGTGATTGTCCTAACAAGAGAGTTATGATAATCAAGAATGGACAAGTTGTCACAAATGGTGAAGAAAGTGACCAAGATGAGCTAGTTGAAGAAGAAGTCTAGGGGAATGAGGAGGAACTAGAAGGATGGGAGTCATTCGACACTTGTTACAAGAAGACTTTTTGAAACTCAAGTTACGGAGAATGAGAATTTGTGTTCCAAGTGATTGATGGATGTTATTATCCCGTTGAGCTTGTATGTTTATTTTGCATGGATTATGCACGATGATTCTAGATAACTATTGTGTGCGCACCTAGTTAATTCTAATGAACCAGTATCATGTTAAGATAGGGATTTGTGGTTAGGTTGACTAGTTACCTAATTTAGACCTAACTGAGTCTAACAGAACACCATGACTTATACAAACTACCTTAAAAGTTGTCCTTAGGCTGCTAGATGTGTGAACAGTGTCAACAGTTTCGTGGGGGAACATGAATTTCTGCTCAAAACTCGACTGAACCTAGCCATTTTCGCATGGGAAATGAGAGACCCACATCGTACAGACCATTAGCTGAATAGGATAAGGGAGGGGTCGTGCTCCCCAATGAGGGTGACTTTATGGACCTAGGAGACATTATCTCACCCCTAAGTAAGACACCATAAAGTTTCATAGAGCCATGCATGAGGTAGCGCCTCGCAGAGGGTTGCCAGTCATTCATAATCGGCATGGAAACTCAGGGTTTAAAATGAAAGGATGGATAACCAGAATAGCCCAAGGGGATAAGACTAGAACCGACGTACTAGAGCTAATGAGAAGTCCGTGAGAATTTGTTAAACCTAGAAAGCGATGAGAGCCTACAAGTAGGTGACTTAATGAGTATGACTTTTTTACTCATCCTTTCTACATGTCCTGGGTCGAGAGAAGGTGTGTTTGAGAGATGTGGATGGTCACAGAGGAAAACATGTCCCGGGGCCTCAGTCTAGTCTTTTAATTTCACAAACTTTCATTGTAAAAACTGATCAACAATTTGATTCATCGTATTGTAATTCTCTTCTTTTAAAATAAATGATTTTTGTATTGATGTATTTTCAAATATTTCTTGCATTCACACTATAAAATAAAATATTGGTCGGAATTGGTTTGAGTTGTTTGTTCATTTATTTAAATTTTTATTTCTAATATAAGTAAAATATTAAAATGTAAAACATTAATTCATTTATTCTCAAATATACCCTATTTCTTTTGAAAAATTATATTCAAAATATTTTAAATTTTATTTTTAAAAGTGGGCGGAACAAATAATTAAAAAACAATTATGAAAATATATATAATTGTTTCCCACCACTCTGAACATCCTTTGCCCGGAGGCCCCGGTTCCCTGAACAGGCCACTTGAATCCATGCCCAACTCATCACCACCGTCTTTCTCTTCAACAACCTCCTCAAATTTGTACCCCAAATGTGGCTCTGCCGGCCAGACCTTATTGCTATTCTCCTCTGCCTCAGATGACTGTGGGAATCTCGTCTCTTGAACTTCTTTTGTTACCCAATTTGTCTGTTCTAAAAGACCCTTTCAGGCTTTGAGTTTCTTTAGCCATATGAGGCGTCTCTGCTGTTTTATTTGCTTGCTGATTCTATGGCTTGTGTTCATGGAGATCAGATGCATTTTCTAATTTGGAAACATGGATTCCATGCTGAAGTTTTTGTTGCCAGTGCATTGGTCGATATGTATGCGAAATGTTGTGATATGTGCACTGCTGAGAAGGTGTTTGAGGAAATGCCTGTGGGAAACCTTGTGTCTTTGAACTCTATGATTGTGGGGTTCTTGCAGAACAAAGTTTATGATCGGGCCATTTTCTCTAACTGTTCTTGATGAGGTAAGCTTTTCCAGTGCTTTAAGGTAAGCTTTTCCAGTGCTTTAGTGCTTATCACCATGTTGGTAACTTGGAGTTTGGGAAACAAGTTCATGGGTTTCTCTGAAGCTTGGTGTCGAGAATTTGGTTCATGTTAATAACTCGCTGTTTGACATGTATGGTAAATGTGGCTTGTTTTATGATGATGTGAAGTTGTTCTCAAATATTGGCGTTTAGAGATGTTGTTGCTAGGAATATAATGATCATGGAATGAGTTTATAGCGACAATTATAAAGGTGCCTACAATAGTTTTTGGATGATGAGGAGGAAAGGTTTAATACCTGATGATGCATCATACTCTTCTGCGCTTCATTCTTAAGAAAATCTTGCCATTATATCAGGGAACGCTTATCCATTATCTGATCATACAATCTGGGTTTTTGAACATGTTGTGTGTTACAAGTTCTTTGGGCACAATGTATGCAAAATGCAGCAGCTTGGCAGATGTTTTTTTTTGGAGATTTGAAGAAACTAAGGACGATAATGTGTTTTGTTGGACAGCCATAATTGCAACTTGTCAACAGCACGGCCATACTAACCAGGTTGTTGAATTGTTGAAAGAAATGTTGAGAGAGGAGATTACACCTGACTACATTACTTTTATTTCTGTTCTCTCTGCTTGTAGCCACACAGGTCGGGTGAAGAAGGATTCTTCTACTTTAATTCAATGGTTGAAGTGCATGGTAGTAACCCTGGATATGAACATTATGCGTGCATAGTTGACTTGCTTGGCCGTGCTGAGCAGATGAATAGAGCTAAGAGGTTTATAGAAGTGATGCCTATCAAACCAGAGGCAGAGTTGCTTGATCTTTATTATGTTGCATATGAGGTTAGCAACTTTAGTTATATCTTTCACATTTCTTAAATCCTGAATTGCACGGTATCTTGCCTTTTTCATGTTGTGCCAAAGGCCATTGCTTTTGTTGTCTGTAAAATGAAGTTCCCTTGTAGTCGTACTAAATTGAGCAGCCTGATGTGGAAATAAGGCAAGAACATTTCTTCCTTTACGGTATATGTTGATGTCGAATGTCAATAGACAGATGCATCCCTTGCTTTCCAGGCAAGTATGCCATTACCCATACGTAAATTTTCACAATATTGACATTGCCTTCGATTTGACAAAACCCTTTAATCATAACTGTAACTCCACGGAAAGACAAATGAAGCCTCCTTACAAAATCCACAAAAATGCTGACAATATACACATCACGGTACAATATTAGAGTTTACATTACAACTATGAAAACTATCCCAAAAAATCCTCACAACCACATCTTCTTATAATTACTATAAAAAAAACACCAACAAATAATAAATACAAAGAAGAACCAATATATTCGTACAGTATCAAGTATAGCATTAAAGGAAACCTTCTTCTATACACACTCTTTTCTGAATAGGAAACAAACCAAGAGAAATCAAATAATACTGACACCGCAACGCTGAATATGCTGCGTGTCCAAACAATAAGGGTAATCGGCATTCATGTGAACTATTCAGTGTTTATTAGTTCCACACCATCACTTAACTTTAACGTCATCCCTTGCTTCAGAGGAAAGGGTTTTTGAGCTGGGTGACTTACCAATGATTGCTTTCTTTGCCTTCACCAGTGACTGTTTTACTTTCGATAAAAGATTGTGTGAATGCTTATGACTATGCTTTGATGGAACTTCTTTCTTGTCATTCACTTTTGCAACTTCTCCTGTTTTCACAGCTTCTTTATCTTTTACTTCCAACTCAGGTTCCTGGGGTTCTTTAGGCGTTTCATTTACATGAGCTATGCCAGTTTCAACCTCTGCTGGTTTCTCATCTTTAATACTCTCCTCTATCTTGGTTTCCGCAATCAGGTCAGCTACCTCACCAGCCTTTTGGTCATCAATTGACTTTTCTACTACCACAGCATCAGTTTCAAAATCTCTTGGAGCCACCTCTTCCCTTGGCAGAGTTAATTTCTGTATTTCCTCTCCCACCTTTTTAACCTCATCGATATTGATCGATTCCTTTTTTTCATCTTTTTTCACATCCTGAGGAGGAAAGTCCCCTGCAGTTATTTCTGCACTAGGTTGAGCCCCTTGGCGAAGTGAATCTTGTCTGTCTCTTTCCCCTGTGCGTTGCTCCTCTTCTTTGTGGATTTGTTCTACTCCCAAAGATGGCTTACTGTCATTCCCAAGAGCTAATAACTTCTCACATTTCTCACTTTCACTCTTCTTAATTGCCTCAGTTTCAACCTCCACATAATCATTCAGAACTTGATTGGTTATTTCAGGTGATTCTTCTTTACCGTCCTTGACTTCTGTAACTTCAAGTTCTCGTTTTTCAACTGCTTCCGAACCTGTCTCTTTTGCTCTCACCTCCTCAGATTCAGTCACAGGAGAACCTTCATCTGGAAGCTTTGTGTTGCTGGGAGGTACGGCCTCACTAATCTTTTTTGCTATAACTTCTGATTCTTTCTCAGGTGGAACTTCATTTGGTTGCTTTTGGTTTTTGGAAGGTTCAATGGATTCACTAGTGTCTTTTTCCGCCACGACTTCTAGTTCTTTCTCGGGTTGAACTTCAATGAGCAACTCACTTTCCTTCGGAAGTTCTACAGATTCA